ACAGCAGCCGTGATCATGAGACGGGGCTTGTTCACCTGCTTGGCTTCCTGCTCAAAGGCAGCCAGCATTTCCTGCAGGATGACCACAAACGGCTCAGCGTGAACCCCAGTGGGGCTGTGGTCAGAGCTGTGCAGATCGGGGGGCCTGATCAAAGCCTTCTGTTGTGTCCTACCTGAACCAGGACGGTGAAGAGAGCTTTGTCCTGAGAAGAGCTGCCCCTTGATCCAGGGTATTCCCAGTCAATGTCCAGCCCATCAAATTGGTACTGGCGCAGGAATTTGATGACGGAGTTGATGAAGGTCTGGCGGTTCTCAGGAGTGGAAACCATTGTGGAGAACCTAGGGAAGCAGAGAAGGGCAGAATTGGGGCTTGCTTGGTGCCTCTTTTCCCCTTCCCCTCCCTTTCCAGTGTGCTGTTGTGGGAAGTGGGAACTTACTTGGCTGTCCCAAAATTCCATCCTCCAATTGCCAGGAGGGTCTTGAGATTTCCATTCCTGCAAAGGGAGGGACATGAACACGTTTCACTGCAAAGAATGGTTTAGTATTGCTGTTTCCAACTTCAGACCAAAGACCAACACAAAGCACAGTGCTCCTGCTTTTCTGCAAAGTGGCTGCTGCAGCTGCATTTGTAGGCTGTGATGTTGTGGAGTGACACCCAGGCAGTAAGTCAGGAGCACAGTTACTGATGTGACTGATGTTCCTCATCCCCGGAGGATCAATGCTGGCAGCCTGGCCAGCCTTATCTGACATCACTGTCTGCCCCTTTTTCTTTGCCCCCTCAGCATGTGGGTTGAGCTGCCATCTTATACAGAACAGCTGCTCAGTAATTTGCAGGACTTGAGTGGGAAAACACATGATGCGTGATGCTGTCAGTACGTACTTATTTTTCAGTCCATTGAAGGATTTGTAGAGGGTCTCATCATTCCATTCAATGGTTGTGATCTCATTGTTGGACATCCCAGCGAAGGCGTAGATCAGATGGTCACAGAGGCACGGGTCGATGTTGTCTGGCATGTATTTTCCCAGGCCAGGCCTGTATTGAGCCCAGTTGGTGAAATAGCATGACAGCACATAGGCAGAGCCTGTAGAGAAATAGAGGAGGTGGAGTGGGGGGAGAAGAGAGTAAATAGGAGATGCTGATGTCCTGTTATGTATGCTGACCAGGTAACTGGCTGCATGACATTTCCTGTAACCATCTTTCATGTTTCTCAGTATAGCCAACACTGCCCTGGGCTGCACTTGCTGTAAATTAAGACATAAATGAAATCTGATCAGAAATGTTTGGGCAATGTTTGCTTGGGACTAAGGATTTCAAATAAAGTGATGTGGGGCTGGTTATCCTTCTGGGAACTGGCTCCCTAAGGTCATTAAAGCATTTCCCTCTTTCTTTGTTTGTACCCTGAAACTCATGAATCAGGGTGGTTGTGGCTGCTGTGTCTCTTTCCCAAACTGAGCCTTTCTCCCTTTGGTGAGGAAGAACAGACGTAGAACAGATCTCCAGTGAAGTGCCTGGATGGAGAAGGCTGTTGGTGTATCTAATAAGCTGCATGCCTGCCTTGACTGTGTGTGCCAGTGCTAAGAGGTGTTTGGTGAGCAGTTTTGGGGTGTGAAGCACATACCTATCTGGGCGTTCAGCAGGAGGGCCAGACCTTTGAAAATCAAAGTGAAGGATTAGTCTTTGAAATAAACATCAGTGCTGAAAGAAGCAGAAATCATTTGATAGGTACACTGTCATACAGACAATAAAATTGCTCTGTGCCAATATTTTAGATCAGTATTAACCCAACAAAAGTTCAGTCTGAGGTCACAGTTTATTCTGAGGGAAGCGAATGTGCAGAAAAGCTTATGGTCATTAAGATCTCAGTATGCTGCTCTGGTTAATTCCTTCAGTAGGAAGGAACTGAATGTGATGATTCCTGTGAATATAGCTGAAATAACAGAGACTACAGGCAAATATGGACAGTGATAGCTCCTTTAGCAAGGCAGTTTTTATCCCTAGAGTGTTACGTCTTGGTCCAAGGTTGTGTTTTGGTTAAAGAAATCAACTGAATAAAGAAATTGCATATCTAAGGAAGAAGAAAACACCAGAGCACTCCAGCATATAAACAACCTGAAAACGCGGTACTGATTTTCCTTTGAATAAATAGAAAATGCAACATCTTGATTTCCATTGAACCCCTCTTCTATCACCTGATGTAAAAGTGAGAGAAAAGTGAGAGCCCTGGCACTTGTCATAAAGGCAGAGAAGAAGTTTTGAAGCAGGACTTACCAGTAAGCAAAACGAGCTTGGCCATCTTTGACCAGAACTGATCTGCTGCAGACTTTTCTCACTTTTATATGCTGCTCTCACTTCTTGCAAGTCTTGTGTCAACAAAGATGCCCAAACATTGCACAAGCTGGTAAAGATCAGTATCATTAAAATTGAGATACCAATACAATAGACTTCAGGACTTTGTTTGGAGACCCAAGCGTTATCACGGTCCACCATGTTGTGATGCTGCCTGAGCAGTGGAAGAACAAGATTAGATGACTTTTCTTGGAAGTTCTCTTCACCTCTAGAGACTTTGTGTCAATATTGGCGTTACGCCGGAGTAGATGCCTGAGTGTTCAACCTTGCACTGCCATTGTGTCTGCCCAGAGGCAGCAGGTGCTGCCAAACCTGGGTGCTTTACAAGGGTTTGGTCTCCTTGGCTGGGGGTCGGAGAGGTGAGACTGAGTAGAGCTTGGACCTACAGCAGCGGAGGGCTCAGGAGCTCACTGCTGTTGGCAGGAGGCTGGTCAGGATCCAGGGGCTTCTTGGGCTGACTTCTCTCTTGCTCCTGTCACCAGAGCCTGCTGTGACTTCGTGGAAGTGGAGTGGGCTTCCTGGTGATTGTCAGTGAAGGCAAAGCAAGTCAGCTTGTGCTGAGCAGTTCTCTCACTTACTCTTGGGACTGTTGTTGGAAAGAAGGTAGGCAGAAAGCTTTAACAAAGTGCCTTCAATGGTGAGTGCGCTGCTGGCCTGAAAAGCAAACGTTTGATGGTACATTGCTAGGATAATTTCCTTTGAAGAAAAGCATTATTTCTTGGAGGCCACACACTTGGAGAGAGAGCCCAGGGACAATGCATAAATCAGGACATATTAAAACGACTTCACTTTTGTCATAGAGGACTTTAGATTACTGTGTGAGCAAACAGTCACTGCTAAGTTCTACGTCCAGCCTTTTTTCTCTTCAACTGCCATTACGTTCCTATCTCTGGAGCATTTTCTCTTACATCTCTTTTTACAAATTGATGATATGAAAGATAGGAAGCACTTCACAAGAGTATCTGTGTCTTTACTTGAAGCTCATTTGCTGAAATGACCTGATGAAGAGAAAAGTAATGGTAGGAAAGAAGATGTAGGGCTTAACTCTTTCAGCCTGGTTGCCAAATTCTTCCTTCATCTCTTGGTAGAGTCACTCAATCCTACACATGAAATCTCTCAATTGGGCTGGGAACAAAAAAATAAAAACAGCAGCATTGCAGGTATGGAATCATGATGATGAGTGTTTTAATGTGAAGAACTCTGAAAGTGTTAGAAATGATCCGTCCCTGTCCGCAAGGGACAGTAAACTTCTTCTTTCAAACCTGTGCTCTGTACCTGGCTGGTTTGTACTTTCTGATGTGCTCTGCAAGATGCTCTCTGTAGGAGAACCTCATTTCCTTGTGAGGTGGAAACTTCGACTCTTCTGAAGAATCTGCACGCTCTCACTTTGCATACAGTACAGCCTAGTCTGAGAACAGCAGCATTTGTTTGCAGGTCTTTCATTTTTATAAGCTAGCCTCAAAAAAGCTCTCACTGCCTAAGGATCACTTAGTTCCACTTAATTCCCATGAGGAAATTGAGTTAAAGGAAGAGGTTTCCTTTACCTGCAGATTCTTGGCTTGCAATTAAGTGAAAGCACTGCAGGAGGCAACACAAAAGCAAAACAAAAGACAGCATGTAGTTTTAAGTAAGGAAAGTGTCTTCTGGTTCACAAGAATCTTGTAAAGTTGGTGCCTTAGTGCTGTCAGCAATTAATATGTCCAACAGTAGGTGTCAATGTTGCTTGCTCTTCCTGGTCACATACATAGAGCACTTTTGTAGCAGTCTTATGGTAACGTGGAAGCAGTGTGTTTGCAGACCAAAAAGCTTAATTGCTGCTTCTCTTTTTTCAGTTGTAAATAAAGACCTGAGATCAACATACAAATGGACTGCTTCATTCTTGGTATAGAAAAGTAACATCATTAAAGGCAAGTTTTATTTCAGTTCACTTATCCAGAGCTGTACTGCATGCATAAGATGTTAGAGAGAAAGAGGAACTATTAAACACTTATGTCCAAAAACTAAAGTAACCTTGAAACGTGTTAGGAGCAATGGTGTCTGCCATGGAAGGGTATCCCAGAGCCTCAGAAGGGAACTGATAAACCTGCTTTTTGGCTACCTCAAATGTCTAAATCACCTGCTTATATCTCTAATAAATAATTTAGGCTCATCTTTTGTTTCTTCCACCTTCGTCTGCCAGCACAGTAAATACTTACTATGGGGGAAGCTGGGCCTGGCTGCTCAGATTAAAGACTGACTGAATTCCCATATTCCATGCTATGTGTCTGCCATCTTTTCAACATGCCCAATTTTATTCAAGTGGCATCAGGTGAAGCTCACTGAAATTGTGTGTCCTTGGCATACAGCCCTTATTAACTGCTTCGCTAAGACTTCAAACCATCTCAGATGTGTTTACAGTTCCCAACCCTTTCCTCCCTATTGGACACTTTTTTGCTATGGAGCAGCCCCTGGTTTTCACACTGCCACGACACAGAGCCAAGCAGTCACACTGGAGTATTCATTTACAGTATTTATTACAGCAGTTCAGCAGGTTCTCCAAAGAACTGCCTCTTTTTGCTCAAAGCTCTGTGTACTTGATAAGCATTCTATCGTGAAGATCAGAGCAATTTTATCTACTTCTTCCTAGAAAACTACATCTGAACAAAGCCATCTCCTTCCCAGATGTAGTGAGCAGCTTCAGATTCCTACCCAGGGGCTGGTCCGTTTGGAGTTCAGCTCATGCTCTGGGGCCTGTAAAGAGGAATGTGCTTCCTGATGCCAGTGCATGCCAATGACCTACACCTTGGCCCTGTCTCTGCTGTGCCGTGTCAAATACCAAAGTCTTGGGAGTGTCGAAAAGCAAGCAGAACAAAATCAACAACCGGTGTGTGCATAAGTGCTTGAAATAAGAAGTAACCCCTTGTTTTCACCTTGCTAAAAGTGAGGGAGATTTTGTTCTATGATTAGGACAGCTTGACTCAAGGCTGTTTTTATTTCTTACAAGGCCTTAGCTTTAACTTTTTTTTCAGCTTAACCTTGCTATCTTGGCCAAAGTCTCCCTGCTTGATGTGGTTTATAACCTAAGAGAGGGATATCAGTGCATCACTGACTGATCCACTGAGCTGTGCTGCTTCCAGTGCCCAGTCCAAGAGGTGTTAGGAGATACCTGATCTCCTTTCTTGCCTTGGTTTCTGCTTTAGAGAGAGTCTGATCACTTTGGGCTCTAATGGGATTAAGATGGAATGGGGCTGTGGGCAGGGGAATAAAGAGCATGATGTAATTCCATTAGAGGTTCATCCAAAAGAGATGAGCCTGTCTGGGTTCTTTTCTCAAGAGCCTTCATGGTATTGCTGGTTCCTCAATAGCTTAGCAGCTTTTTATATCTGAGCTCTTCTTGAAGGACACCGAGTTCCCTGTAAAAACTGTCTCCTTCTCTTTAAGAGTCTGGCCCCACATCCAGTTTGGTATACGTACCCTTGCTTAAGTTACTGCCACTATAATCCAGTGCCTGTAAATGGAGTCATGAAAAGGGATCTCTGTGGCCTCCAGGTCGTGTAACCCCCATAGGTGTCCTTCACTGCGCAGCCCAGAGCCAATGGTGTGTAACATTGGTGTTTAACAGCACCCCATGCAGCAACGAGACAGCTGGAATGCCTAAAATCTCTTTCTGTGCTACTGAACAGATCATTTGGTGTAGCTGAAAGGCTCCTGTTGCTGGTGCTGTGTCCTGTGGCAAGTCCAGGCCAAAGAGCCAGCCATGCTCCTGCAGTGTGATGTCATCGGTCCATGAGCACGGGTCATACAGGCAATGTCTGATATTAGTTCTTGTTCAGATTCACAGCAAGAAATTAGGAGCTTTAAGGATCCTCAAGTTCTCTTCTCCAAAGATAATCTCCAGGTGGGCCTTGGGCACAGACAGGCACAGACAGGAGTCTTTGCTTAACAGGGCAGTCAGGAGAGCCATATCTCTTTGGTACTTATGAAAACGATTCATTTGTTTGAAGATCTCTGTTCTTATGCCTGGTTTCCCCAGTACTAACTCCTTGTTCCCGAGTCTGTCCTGCTTCACACCATCTTTCTCTGGCATTTGATTTCCCTCCTCTCTGCAGCTCATTGACTGGAACTAAAGAACTGCTGACTTTCAGATACCAGCCATTCCCTGGCTCCACAGGGGAAATTCCTCCCTTCTGCACGTAGATTCCCAGAAATACACTCTGACTCAGTGTGATTACAGAATGCTGCAGCCATTTCCCAAGCTACTTCTACAGAGTGTCATCGTTTATCCACCTTTTGTCCCTATGTATGTTTTATTGGGACCTTGAAGTGTCCTTTTCATGAAGAATTAGATGTAATATTGCAATAGAGCATTACACATTTTTTCCTTACATCACGGCTTTTATCTTTCTGTCTGTTGGCACTAAATAGCTGTAATTAGGCACTGTAAGCACACCCCTACCTTCTCTGATGTTAGGAAACGCTCAGGCTTGATTTCTGCCAATCCTGTTCCTTAAATAAATCTTGACTCTGCACTGTGAGCATCTGCCTGATGTTCCCAGGTGGCCAGGACTGAGGGGATGAGTTCACCAGCTCTCCGTGGTGGTGGTGAACCCCAGTGAATGGTAGGGCACTATCTGCATGTAGGAACGGGCAGCAGGGCTGGATCCTGCCGCCTACCCCGTCTGAGTTCCAAGAACGATTCTGTGTTGCCTGCCAGTAAGAAAGGCCTTCAGAAGTGGGGGTATGTGCATGGTTCAGATCCACAGGCGTGCACTTAAATATCTGTGCCCAAATGCAGGTGTGTGCAGGTGAGCAAAACACATTGAAAACAGGTATATGCATGAATGAATGTGTGCATTGTGTTATTTTAGCTATGGACATATCACATGAAGAATGCTTTGTTTTAGCTATTCTGGATTTTTCTTTCTATATTTTTATGCAATTTATGTCACATGCAATTATTTATGGTGTGATCTTTTGAAATTTGGATTTACTAAAGCATAAGATCTGAAAAATCCACTTAAGATTGGCAGGGCATATTGGAGCCTAATCTATTACAATTTATTATTTTTATATATATATGTCATCACTAAGCATGCAGATCTTAAACTTCTTCCATCAGGTTTGGAAGGTTCCATCAGGCTGCCCCATGTAACAGGACCTATTTTCCCCATCTGTCTCACCCATCAATCCCCATGGTCTGCAAGGAGAGGACCAGCTGTGACTAGCGGAGAGCACTGGCTGCTGCCGTCACCAAGCAGAGGGCTGCAGTACAGACATCATCTTGCATTTGTGACCGCATTCATGAGGTCTCATCCCTAAGAATGAATTGTAACAAGGCCCCAGGAAGTTCCTTCTGGACTTGGTTTTGCTCTGAACCCTTCAGAGGAGGCTTTGCTCCCACAACAGCATCCCGTCTAATTACTTATTAAGCTCTTTTTCTGGTAGACAACATCCGCCCATTTCCAATTAATCCTTGCTCACAAGCTCAATAACCTCAGCCATCTGTGTAGGTAAGAGAGATAAGCTTGCCATTAAACATTTACAGGACATAACAACAGAGCACTGAAGCAACAGGCTGAGAGAACCCGG